TTTTTTTTAAGAGCGTTCTTCTTCTTCTTCTTCTTCTTCGTCTTCTTCTTCTTTTAAGCATTCTTTCTTTTCTTTTCCTTTTTAAGCATTCTTCTCATGTTTGTGTTGGCTATGATTACTGACCATCGATGCCTGATGACACATTGCTGCTGTATGGATGGATGTGCAGTTCAAAGCAAAGCTGTTCCTGGAGGAGATGATGTCTATATTCATTACCCCTTTTATTCTTTGGTTTTCACTCCCCAAGGTGAGGGAATGCGGAAACGTGAGAGAAGAAGAGAGAGAGGGAGGGGGGTAGAATGAAGTTTTTTGGGGGGGGGAGGAGAATGGAGGGGGGGAGTAGAGTAATAAGCTCAACAGAGAGGTACTGTGTAACCCATGTGAGTTGCGAAGATCAGATTTGAATCGTCTTGTGTCCGAGAAAATTCAGAGTGAGATGGAGTTATTACCTGGAGCATACTCACACGATTTCCTGGTTGTATCTGACATGATTACATCCCATCCTGGACGCATATGACTGCAATTGCGTCCAAGTACGTCCTGTGGTTGTCGTATCCGACAGCTACCTTCGTCCCCCGAACATAACGCATATATGTTGTAATCGAGTTTCCAAATTGGAAAAAAAATCGAATAGACCGCATATGGGTTACATTTGAAGTGTGTGTTGTATTCGAATACAACACCCGCGTGTTGTATTCAAATAGAATACACACTATGCATTGCATTCGTTTACAACGCGTATGCGTTATGTTCGGGGGATGAAGGTAGTCCTGGACATATCTGGCGGGGATTATGTCACGCCCTTGTGACTAATCTGATGGCAATTACAGCAGGAAAAAAAAAAAGTCAATCAACATAGGGCCTTGCGGCACAAACCACCAAATGTGTGAAATGGAGAATGTATCTTCTGGTAGAATGTGGAATGATCCACCCGCCATAGGTTTTTTCCTTTTTGCATTTGGTGAGTAGCGCGGCTGTCGCGCTGAGCGCGTGGAAGAAGAGGGAACGGGAAAAAGGTCGCGGGAACTTATTTGTGATGGAGTTCGCAGGCATGTCCTTTTTTTTTTTTTTTGTCTTTTTACGACCTTTTTTGGTCTTTTCCTGTCTTTTTTTTTGTCGTTTTTCTGCTAGTCTCTGTTTCCGTGTGCACGGCCCTCCCCGACACGCACGGATGCCCGCACGGGCCACGGCCGTGCGGGTCCCCCGGTCACTCCCTGTGCGGCCTCAGGGACGCCGGGGCAACCTCCCTCCCGCCATCCCCCACCTCCCTTCTGCCATCTCCTACCTCCCTTCCGCCATCTCCCACTCCAGCCTTGCCACCTCCTACCTCCCTTCCGCCATCTCCAACCTCCCTTCGCTTCCGCCATCTCCCACCTCACTCCCACCTCACTCCCGCCACCTCCCACCTCCCTTTCACCATCTCCACCCTCACTCCCGCCATCTTTTACCTCTCTCCTGCCATCTTCAACCTCCTTCCCACCACCTCCCACCTCACCTCCCGCCACCTCCCACCTCCCTTCCGACATCCCCCAACCTCACTCCCGCCATC